GGAAAGAGAGGAAAGGGAGGGAAGGAAGGGAAGGGAGGGAAGGACGGAAGATGGGGTCTTGCTATGTTGCCCAGTCTGGTCTGGACCTCGCAGACTCAAGAGATCCTCTCATCTCAGTCTTTCAAAGTGCTGGGATTCTAGGTATGAGCGTCTGTGCCTGGCCTGCTTCATAACTTTAATCTTTAACCGAGTAAATTAAGTCCTGGGCCTTCTGCGCACAGACACAGAACAGAAAAAACTCCATCTGTAATGCAGGTGAACTTGGAAAACGGGGCTTGAGAATTTTGCACATTAGGTGGGAAGAAAGCCCCATTCTGGGCTGCATATTAAATTACTGTGGGGCCGGCCAGGCGTGGTGGCTCACTCCTGTCATCCCAGCACTTTGGGACGCCGAGGCGGGTGGATCACCCGAGGTCAGGAGTTCGAGACCAGACTGGCCAACATGGTGAAACCCCGTCTCTACTAAGAATACAAAAATCAACCAGGCACGGTGGCGCACGCCTGTCATCCCAGCTACTTGGGAGGCTGAGGCAGGAGAATCACTTGAACCCGGGAGGCAGAGGTTGCAGTGGGTCGAGGCATCGCCACTGTGGTAAGAGTTATTAAGACATTATTTTAGACAGACGGAGACGAAAACGGGGCCGGGGTGGTGGCTGACGCCTGTACTCCCAGCACTTTTGGAGGCTGAGGCGGGTGGATCACCTGAGGTTGGGAGTTCAAGACCAGCCTGACTAACATGATGAAACCCCGTCTCTACTAAAAATACAAAAAATTAGCCGGGCGAGGTGCCGCACGCCTGTGATCCCAGCGACTCGGGAGGCTGAAGCAGGAGACTCGCTTGAACCCGGGACGCGGAGGTTGAAGTGGGCAGAGATGGGGTCACTGCCCTCCAGCCTGGGCAACAAGAGTGAAACTCCCCTATCTCCAAAAAAAATGTTAAAAGGAGGGAAAGAGAGGAAAAGGGGTCCTTGGACGGTGTTTTCCCAGCTCCAAAAAACGTTTCCTGTCTAGCGTGAAAGCCCCGCTCTCAGACCCGGCTTGGCAACCTTTAATATGTAAATACGGGCCGTTAAAGCTGGGCGCAGTCAACAGGGCGCTTCCCACCGACGACGTCTTGCCCTCGCCCCCACCTGTGCCTGACATCCTGGCCGCCCCCACACGTTCCCGCCATCCCGGCCGCCCCCACACGTTCCCGCCCTCCCGGCCGCCCCCACACGTTCCCGCCCTCCCGGCCGCCCCACCTGGTCCCGCCATCATGGCCGCCCCCACACGTTCCCCCATCCCGGCCGTCCCCACACGTTCCTGCCATCATGGCCGCTCCCACCTGGTCCCGCCATCATGGCCGCCCCCACACGTTCCCCCATCCCGGCCGCCCCCACACGTTCCCCCCATCCCGGCCGCCCCCACACGTTCCCGCCCTCCCGGCCGCCCCCACACGTTCCCGCCCTCCCGGCCGCCCCACCTGGTCCCGCCATCATGGCCGCCCCCACACGTTCCCCCATCCTGGCCGTCCCCACACGTTCCTGCCATCATGGCCGCTCCCACCTGGTCCCGCCATCATGGCCGCCCCCACACGTTCCCCCATCCCGGCCGCCCCCACACGTTCCCTGCCATCGCTGGCGCTCCACCTGGTCCCGCCGCCGGCCGCCCCCACATGCCGCCAGGCGCGTAGAACATCATGGCGCCTGTCCCACCTGGTCCCGCCCTCCCGGCCGCCCCCACATACCGCCAGGCGCGTAGAACATCATGGCGCCTGTATTTGCATATGACGGGGCTGGGCTGGGCGGGCCAGGTTTTTCGCGGGCTACGTGAATGACAGGCCTGGTCAGACCAATCCGCTGAGCGCTATGCAAATCAGCCACGCCTCCTCCAGGCGCCGCGTTCCCCGGGCTGGGCTCCTCCCTCCTCCCTCCTCCCTCCGCTTTGGAGCCCCCAGTCCCTCTGTCTCCGTCCGGGGGGCTACTTCCTTTTCCTTTCTCCTTTCTCGCCTTTTTTTGTTTTGTTTTTGAGACGGAATTTCGCTCTGATTGCCCAGGCTGCAGTGAAATGGCGCGATCTAGGCTCCCCGCCGCCTCGCAGTGCTGGGATCCCAGGCCTGAGCCACCTGCCCGGCCCTCCCTTCCCTTCCCTTCTTGCCTGTTAAACGCTCCGCTCCTTAAAACCACTGCACGGGTGTCCGTGTCGCCTTATTTAATTCCACTGGAGAGGAAGAACCTGGTGTTCCTGCACCACCAGAGCCTATCACCACTGCACTGCAGCCTGGGCGACACAGCAAGACTCTGCCCCCCAAAATACACATATATAAATATATAATATATGTTTATTAGATATAAATATATATTTATAAAATATAAATATATAATAAATATTTATTATATATAAATATATAATAAATATATACAATATTATATAATACATAGTATATAAATATATATAATTTATATAATGTATAAATCATATAATTTATATATTGTTTATTATATAATTTAATTATATATGATGTAAATATATGTTATATAAATATTACATTAATATATAAATATATAAATATATATTACATAAATATATATATTCATTATATATTTATATAATTTTATGTATTAATATAATATAAAACTTAATATATATTACATAAAATTTTATATATATTATATAAATGATATATAATAAATATGTGATATATAAATTGATATATAAATATATAAAATAAATATATATAAATATATAAAATATAAATATATAATGCTGAAAATAAGGAAAGAGACTCTTTTCATAAGGGCATTTTAGAAAGCTTGTAAATTCTCTGCCTCTGAACTGTATATAACTTTTTGGGTTTTTTCTTTTATTTTTAAATACAGAGTTTCACTCTTATTACCCAGGCTGGAGTGCAATGGCGCCATCTCAGCTCACTGCAACCTCCGCCTCCTGGGTTCAAGCAGTTTTCCTGCCTCAGCCTCCAGAATAGCTGGGATTACAGGTGCCCGCCACCACGCCCGGCTAATTTTTGTATTTTTAGTAGAGACGGGGTTTCACCATGTTGGCCAGGCTGTTGAACTCCTGACCTCAGGTGATTCACCTGCCTCAGCCTCCTAGTGTGTTGGGATTACAGGCGTGAGCCATTGCGCCCAGCTGTATGTACGATTTTTTTTTTAAGACAGAATTTCACTCTTGTCACCCAGGCTGGAGTGCAATGCCGCGATCTTGGCTCACTGCAACCTCCGCCTCCCAGGTTCAAGCAATTTTCCTGCCTCAGCCTCCGGAGTAGCTGGGATGACAGGCACCCGCCACCGCGCCTGGCAATGTGTGTAAGATTTTTCAGGGCTAAATCATCCTGTTGAGAGTTTCACGTGTCTGCAATGTTCCGTGGTGAACCAGGGGCCTCCTCTTAGAAATGAGACCTGGAGGGGCTGGGCACGGTGGCTCACACCTGTCATCCCAGCACTTTGGGAGATGAGGTCAGGAGTTCGAGACCAGCCTGGCCAACATGGTGAAACCCCATCTCTACTAAAAGTACAAAAAGTAGCCGGCTGTGGTGGCAGACGCCTGTAACCCCAGCTACTCAGGAGGCTGAGGCTTCAGAATCGTTTGCACCCAGGAGGCGGGGGCTGTGGTGAGCCGAGATCACACCCCTGCACTCCAGCCTGGGTGACCGAGTGAGACTCTGCCTCAAAAAAAAAAAAAAAAAGAAAAAGAAAAGATAAAAGAAATGGGACCCAGAGGAAGGGAAGAAGCCCAGGCCTCCTGGGGAAGAGGAGACAAACTTCAGCTGAAACTGCAGACCCACCTTGTTGATCTTGAGCCCAGAATGAAAGGCCTGGTCTCCCCCTGGGCTGCAAGAAAGGACGAGATCCTCTGGGTCTGCAGCTCCTGGCGGCTGCCCGTGCTGCCTTCTCGTCCACACTCAGGCAGGGCTTCCCAGCTGGCTGCAGGTTTTGTTTTTATTTACATCTTCCCAAAATCCCTTCCTCCCAGACCCAGCAAGCCAGATGAGCTCAGGCCTTCCCGGCTGCCGGGACTGGGAGGGAGGGAGGGAGGGTCCCCAGAGCCTGCAGGGCCCAGGAGGAGGAACCCATTCTTTATCAGCCTCGGGGACGTCAGCTCAGCCTCAGGCTCTTTCTTCAACAGAAGCAACCACACCTGTGCCAGTTCTGGGTCCCCAGGAGGGTGGGGGCCCCTCCTCTGCAGCCAGGAGGGACGCTGTGAACCTCCGGAGGCCCAGGGTCCCAGGGCCGCAGGGTGGAGGGAAGGTTAAAATGCTGGTCTGGGTGGCGCCCGGCGGCTCACGCCTGTCATCCCAAACACTTTGGGAGGCTGAGGCAGGTGGATCAGCTGAGGTCAGGAGTCCGAGACCAGCCTGGCTAACACGGCGAAACCCCGTCTCTACTAAAAACACAAAAAGTAAACCGGGTGTGGTGGCAGGTGCCTGTCATCCCAGCGACTCGGGAGGTTGAGGCAGAAGAATCCCTTGAACCCGGGAGGCGGAGGTTGCAGTGAGCTGAGATCTCGCCATTGCATTCCAGCCTGGGGGATAAAGCCAGACTCCCATCGAAACACAAAAAACCTTCGTCTCCACACCCTGTTATCTTAATGGAGATATTCCTTTCTAGAAATAACACGTGTGTGTGTGTGTGTGTGTGTGTGTGTGTGTGTGTGTGTGTAGAGACAGGATCTTGCTCTGTTGCCCAGGCTGGAGTGCAGTGACACGATCTCAGCTCACTGCAGCCTCCGCCTCCTGGATTCAAGAGATTCTCCTGCCTCAGCCTCCAGAACCGGTGGGATTACAGGCCCCTGCCACCGTTCCCAGCTAATTTTTCGTATTTTTAGTCGCGAGTGGGTCTCACCGCATTGGTCAGGCTGGTCTTGAACTCCCGAGTTCAGCTGATCCACCCGCCTCGGCCTCCCAAAGTGCTGGGACGACAGGCGTGAGCCACCGCGCCCGGCCTAATAAGAACTCTTTCAACCAATTGCCAGTCAGAACAATTTTACAATCTAGTTCTGACCTGGAAGTCCGCCTCGCCGCCCGTCGTGCTGTCCTGCCTTCACACATTTAACCCGTCAGGCCTCTGAGCCGAACCTCAGCCGTTATCACCCCCGCGACCTGCACGTACACCTCCCGGAGGCCTGCAGGAGCCGAGAAGTCGGGAGCAGTCGAAGCAAAGAACGACACAGAAGCAAAACAGCCAGTGCCTGCCGTCACTGAGTAACTAAAATGACCACGTTTTCCTATTCTGACTCGTCCCTGCCCTACTTTAGCTGATCCATCGACCGTGTGCCCTTCGTCTTCTGGACAATGAGTCTTAGGATGTGTCCACCGTGCGCCTTGTAACCCGTTCCTCTGCTAACAGTAGATAACCGTGGGGAAAAGAAAGAGGGATCAGACTGTTACCGTGTCTACAGACATAAGAGACTCCACTTTGTTCTGTCCTCGGAGAAATTCTTCTGCCTTGAGAAGCTGTTAATCTGTAACCCCAGCCCCAACCCTGTGCTCGCAGGAACGTGTGCTGTGTTGACTCACGGTTTAATGGATTTAGGGCTATGCAGGATGTGCTTTGTTAAAAAAGGGCTTGAAGGCAGTGTGCTTGGTAAAAGTCATCACCATTCTCTAACCTCAAGTACCCAGGGACACAAACACTGCGGAAGGCCGGCCGGCCGCAGGGACCTCTGCCCGGGAAAACCAGGTATTGTCCAAGGTTTCTCCCCATGGGATAGTCTGAGATACGGCCTCGGCCTCGTGGGAAGGGAGAGACTGACACCCATAAAGGGTCTGTGCTGAGGAGGATTAGTAAAAGAGGACGGCCTCCTGGCAGTTGAGACTCCGGAAGGCCTCGGTCTCCTGCTGGTCCCTGGGCAATGGAACGTGTCAGTGTAAAACCCGACTGTGTGTTCTATTTACTGCGATAGGAGAAAACCGCCTTAGGGCGGGAGGTGAGACGTGCCAGCGGCACTGCTGCTGTTTCGTGTTTGCATTCCAGATGTTTGCATCCGAGATGTTTGTATAGATGTTTGTATTCATGCAAGGCACGGCACCTTTCCTTAAACGTATTGATGACACAGAGATCTCTGTTCGCATGTTTTCCTGCTGACCCTCTCCCCACTGTTACCCTATTGTCCTGCCACACCCCGTCTCCGAGATGGTAAAGAGATAATGATCAATGAACACTGAGGGAACTGAGAGACCCGTGCCTGCCTGGGGTCGCTCAGCGCCGGGCCCCTTTCTCTATACTTATTTCTTTTCTCAGCGCCTGACACACAGAAACCCCCACAGGTGTGGAGGGGCCGGCCGCCCCTTCAGATCCGCACCTTTGGCTGTCATTTTCCGTGACCTCCCCAACTCCTATCAACCCACCCCTTCCCCATCTCCCCCTTTGCTGACTCTCTTTTCGGACTCAGCCCACCGGCACCCAAGTCAGTAAACAGCTTTTATGGCTCCCACGAAGCCTGTTTGGTGGTCTGTTCACACGGATACGCTTGACAGAACCCAGGTTCCTCTTACACACACTGATTCAGGTCTGACGTCTCCTTAAAAGGTGTAAAACCAAGCTGTCCTCGACCACCTGGGGCCCAGGGCGTCAGGACCTCCTCAGGCTGGGCCGCAGGCTCGTTCCCAACCTTGGCAAGAAACACTTTTTTTTTTTTCTGATGGAGTCTCGCTCTGTCGCCCAGGCTGGAGTGAGTGGTGCGATCTCGGCTCACTGCAACCTCCGCCTCCCGGGTTCAAGCGATTCTCCTGCCTCAGCCTCCTGAGTAGCTGGGATGACAGGCACCTGCCACCACGACCGGCTAATTTTCTGTATTTTTAGTAGAGACGGGGTTTCGCCATGTTGGCCAGGCTGGTCTCGAACTCCTGACCTCGTGATCCACCCACCTCAGCCTCCCGAAGTGCTGGGATGACAGGCGTGAGCCACAGCGCGCAGCCAGCAAAACACACTTTCAAAATGTCCTGAGGCCTGTCTCACATACTTTTTGGTTCAGAACACTCAAGGAAACTGGTGTCTCCCAAGATAGGCCAGACCCAAAGGTGAACAGTCACATCCTCTGTGTCATGAACGGTTCCACCAACTCCAGCTGCGGTCATCCTCCTCCCCTCCCGGTCATCCTCCTCCCCTCCCGTCACAGTCCCTCCCCTCCCATCAGAGATGCCTTCATCACACCCCAGGTCCCCGGACCGCTGAGGGGCGTCCCCTCCCGTCCCCACATCCCCCATCCCTCCCCACACATGACAAAGTTGAACAGGAAGGAGCCCCAGGTGGCCCCCAGTCCCAGCCACGTCTGCCGTCTCCTCCAGACGGCACATGGGAGTGGGGTCTGAGGCCGCCCCGCAGAGCACTGACCCTTCCTGGGGGATGTTCTCTCCACCCGGGTCCCCTCCACCCCCGTCCCCTCCACCCCCGTCCCCTCCACCTGGGTCCCCTCCACCCCCGTCCCCTCCACCCCCATCCCCTCCACCTGGGTCCCTCCACCCCGGTCCCCTCCACGCGGGTCCCCTCCACCCCGGTCCCACGGTACATGGAGTGGGGTCTGAGGTCACAGAGCACTGACCTTCCTGGGATGTTCTTCTGACGGTCCCTCCACTCCCATCCTCCACCCTGCCTCCTTCCACTTCTATCCCTCCACCTGGTCTCCTCGACTGTTTCTCCACGCTGGTCCCACTTCTGGCTCTTCTAATTTTGTCCTCCACTTCGTCTCTCCACTCTCTGCTCCTCTACCTCCTGTCTCCCTCCACTCTGGTCCTCCACCTTGGCCCTCCACTCCCCTATCCTCCACCTGGGTCCTCCACCTGTCCTCCACTCTTCGCCTCTAATTCTGCTCCCCTCCACCTGTCCTCTGACTTCTCGGCTCCCTCCACTCTTATCTCTTTCCACTTGTCTTCACTGTCTCTTCACTTGCCTCTTCCACTCTGCTCCTTTCACTCTGGTTCCTTTCACTTTCTGCCTTCCACTTATCTCTTTCCACTTGTCTCTTTCCACTTGTCTTTCCACTTGTTTCTTTCCACTCCTCAATATTCTCCACTCTGTCTCCCACTTCGTCTTCCACTTCTATCCTCCACTTTGGTTCCTTTCGACTGTCTCTCCACGTTGGTCCTTTCCACTGTTCTCTACGCTGGTCTCTTTCGACTTGGTCTCGATTGGTCTCTTTCACTTTGGCCTTCCACTTGTCTCTTTTCCACTTGGTTCCTTTCGATTGGTCTCTTTCTAATTCTGTCCTCCACTCGTCCCCCTCCACCCCGTCTCCACCCCCTGTCCTTCTTCCACTCCTGGTCCCTCCACGCGGGTCCCCTCCACCCCAGTCCCCTCCACCTCTCGGGTCCCCTCCACTCTGTCCTCTCCACCTGGGTCCTCCACTCCCCCGCCCCTCCACTCCCCATCCCCTCCACCTGTCTCCACCCCCGGTCCCTCCACCTCCTGTCCTCTCCACTCCCCGCCCCTCCACCTGGGTCCTCCACCCTGTCCCCTCCACTCCCCATCCTTCTCCACCTGGGTCCTCCACCTCTGGCCTCCACGCGGGTCCCTCCACCTGGTCCTCCACGCGGGTCCCTCCACCCCGGTCCCCTCCCACGCGGGTCCCCTCCACCCCTGTCTCCTCCACCCCGGTCCCTCCACCCCGGTCCTCCACGCGGGTCCTCTCCACCACGGTCCCTCCACTCTGTCCTCCACCCCGTTCCCTCCACTCCCTGTCCTCTCCACCCCGGTCCCCTCCACCCCGGTCGCCTCCACCCGGGTCCCCTCCACCCTGTGGCCTTTGCCATCGCCGTCGCCGTCGCCGTCGCCGTTGCCGTGGGACTGCACAGATGACGGACGGGCCGAGCTGCCCGTGACCTGCCAGCCAGGTGAGACGCCCACACCTTCCCGCCCGCTGAGTCCTCGGGGAGCCTCGCGTCCCAGAGCCGTGAGTGGCCGTGACCCGCACCTGGAACGCACCCGGTGAATAGCTGCTGGGTGAATCCACGGAGGGACCGGACCGGAGTGCTCAGATCCCGGCATCCCCCGTCCACCGTCCCCACAGTCCCAGCTGCCCCGACCTCCCCATCCAGGCCCCGGTGGCCGAGTGACGACGTCCGACCGGTGAAGCAAGCCGTGGCCCCCAGGCTCATTCCCTGACCGTCCCGGGCCGTGTCCACACTGGCTCTGGCCCAGCAGACAATTCCGGGCCTGCGAGGGTTACAGGCCACGGATCGCAGGCGACCGTCCCCCGGCCCGTGCCCCCGGCTGAGGCTCCCGGGACGAGGAGGAGGAGAAGGAACCTGAATGATGGAAAGGCGGGTTCCCCATCCCCAGCCCGCCGCGGGCGCTGTCCCCGGCCCCCACGTCCCCCGCAGGGGAACCGGCTTCAGCAGCACGGGGTGGACACACTCACCTTCCAGCCGCGCGAGTCTCAGAGCTCCTGGCCGCTCCCGCCGGTGTCTGCGGGGAACTGTCCCTGAAACACACCCGGGCCGCTGCCATTGGCCGGCACCGACATTCCTGCCGGAGGAGGAGGGACGTCCCGCCCCGCCACGCCTCTGTCCCCACCCGGCTGGGCAGGGAACGCCGCCCCGAACTCACGCGGGGACCCCAATGCCCAGGTCAGGGGAGGGCCGGGGTCCCCCAGGGAACACAACAGTGTCCCCGGAGTCCCCCAGGGTCAGGGGAGGGCCCAGGTCCTCACAGACCAGGACTGGGGGCAGGAAGATCCCCCAGGGAACCCAGCAGTGACCCCGGAGTCCCCCAGCCAGGGGTTTGCAGACAGCAAGGACGTCCCCAAGCTGTGTTCAGAGGGGCCCCTGCAGGGGACACGGAGGTTCTGACGGACGGGCCCCACTCAGGCCACTGGCCACGGCCGCGGTGGGTCCCCCGGAGCCCCCAGGTCGAGGTGAACAGGTGCTGTCGTCTGAGCCCCGGGAACAAGGCATGGGACCGGCAGACTGAGGCCTGCAGGCTCCGAGCACCTTGGCCAGCAAACCAAACTGACCAGGGTCTTCCCCTGCAGGTTCCCACCTCTCCCGGCCCCCGTGGGCCTGGTCCGGGCCCTGAGCAGCCTGTGATTCCTCCAGCGGTGGAATTGGGTTCTCCCAGCGCTGCCCACGTCTGGAGTCTCTCCCCGGGGGCTAACCAGGAGCCCGGGTCAGGGGTCTGTCTGGAGCCCGTTCCTGCCTCTGCCCGGCTGCCCGCCACGCACCCCGCTGTCTCCCACCCCAGGCTGGACGCCCGGACAGGGCCTCAGAGAGCACACGGAACACTCGGGGTGGCTGCTGTCCTGGCACGGGGACATCTGATCAGGCCGCCGGCCTCTCTGCTTCTTTCCATCCTAACTCAGGCCCCGGGGGCTCCCCCCTCTCCTCCCTCCTCCCCCTGCTCCTCCCCCCTCTCCTCCCTCCTCCCCCTGCTCCTTCTCCCTCCTCTGCCTCCTCCTTCCTCTCTTCACTGAGACTCCCCGTCTCTGCCCACGGCCCCCTGCGGCTTCCTCTTGGCCCATCAGTTTCCTCCCTTCTGCCTCTTTCCCCCTTCGCCCTCCTCCCTCTCCCCTTCACTGAGGCCCTGCGGGGACAC